CGCCTGAAGATAATAAATACAAAGTGTTTAGGAAACCTTGTATGAATCAAACAACAAAAATAAAAACACATCCACAGCATTTATTGTGTATCAAGTCCTGACCTAATCACTTTACACATGTTCTTTTAAGCCTCACAGTTACTATGCCCATTTTACTAATGAGGAAGCCAAGGGACAGAAGGGTCTTGTCTGGGACTGAATTTGGTCCACTCGTTGCTGGTTTGCAACCTATGCATGCCTTTAACTTTAAAAAAACTTCCTTGTGCTCTAGGCTCTGAATTTGCTAAATCAATTCTGGTGGACAAGTGGACCACAATTTTGGTCACCTTTTGGGGTACGGGGAAGAGGAGGCTAGAAGGATAGCTAGACCCAGCTCCTTTCCTTGGGGAGCTATTTTTAGGGCGCTGTGGGTTAATGAACCAGACTGCAAAGCCTGTTTGAACTGCAAGATTTGTGGTTCAAGCTTACCAGATGCTACTTGGAAACCACATACAGGGTCGCTATGAGTCGGAACCGACTTGACAGCATTTAACAACAACAACAATGTGGTTTAAACAGAAAAACCGCAAATGGGTGGCTTTAAAGAACAGGAATTTATGTTCAAACCAGGTTCTCGGCCATGTCAGTTCCTTCTGTGAATCGCTCCTAGTTTCTGGTGTCTGTCAGTGACTGGGCAGCCCTTTACTTATGGAGGGGTCTGACTTCTGCGTCTATTCTTTCTATAACTCAGAAGTGATTTGGTTTAGGACGCAACTCACTCTGTCTTAATCGGATTAGCACAACTAAAGAAACCCCCTGTGTTCAAGCAAGGTCACATTAATAGGTTAGGGGTTAGGATTTTAACATTCACTTTATCAGAGGGTCTCAATCCATTCCATAATAAGAGCTCATAGTTCAAGAGGAGCAGGGAGTGGGTAGGGATAGGGAGAGAAGAAGATGGGAGTTTACAAGATGCATTCATATCCATCATCTTCATCAATGCTCCCAAGATCTGTCTAAGGTAGCATTTTACAGATGAGAAACCAACACAGCTTCATTTTCAGATCAGGGAAGCCACACAGAGATGCTAGGAGCCACACAGAGATCCTGCCCAAGGTGCACAGCTGGACTTCCTTCCACAGGGCGTGTCTTTCTATACCATCAGAATGTTTTCTTCTGGAAACTCTTAAGTACCCCACTGTCTCATTAGAGGTAAGTGGGGGGCTGGCAAGTCTTACTCTATTCACAGAGCCCCTCCCTCCAAGGTCGGTCATTCTAATAGCATAATGACACAGTGCTCCTTCTGTGCTAAATGCTCACACTGAATCCCCAAAACCAATTCAGGCAGCAGAGTCATCATGACTATTTTCAATTGAGGAAACTATGGAGAAGTTAAGCCCCTTACCCAAGGATGCACCGAACCCTCTCCTAGTCCCAAATTTCATTGGTGTGGAATGCTGTTTCCTCCTCAGAAGTCTAGTTCTCAGTAAGCCATCTACTATTTCCCCTCT